CCCTTCCAGCCACAACCTAGTACTGGGAAACACCCATACACACACACACACACACACACACACACACACACACACACACACACACACACACGCACACACACGCACACTCATACACTACGGTCAATTTAGTTTATCAGTTCCCCTATAGCGCATGTGTTTGGACTGTGTGGGAAACCGGAGCACCTGGAGGAAACCCACGCCAGAAAAATTCAATTCGTAAATTCAAAAAACTACTCGTAAATAAACATCCAATTCGTAAATTCAACACATGATTCAAAAACAAACAAAAATTAGATTCGTAATTCAAAACCTGATTCAAAAGTACACAATTTGTATTTGTATTTCAATTTGTAAATTCAAAACACAATTCGTAAACTCAGAACACGATTCTAAATACACAAATCCAATTCATAAATTCAAAACACGATTCGTAAATTCAAAACACGATTCGTAAATTCTAAACACGATTCGTAAATACACAAATCCAATTCATAAATTTAAAACACGATTCATAAATTCAAAACACGATTCGTAAATTCTAAACACGATTCGTAAATACACAAATCCAATTCATAAATTTAAAACACGATTCATAAATTCAAAACACGATTCGTAAATTCAAAACACGATTCGTAAATTCTAAACACGATTCGTAAATACACAAATCCAATTCATAAATTTAAAACACGATTCATAAATTCAAAACACGATTCAAATATACACAAACCCAATTTGTAAATTCAAAACACAATTTGTACATTAAAAACATGATTCAAAAAACACAATTCGTAAATTCAAAACATGATTCATCAATACACAAATTTAATATGTAAATTCAAAATACGATTTGTAAATTCAAAACACGATTCGTAAATACACAAATTTAATTTGTAAATTCAAAACAGGTTTGTAACTTCAAAACATGATTTATAAACACACAAATTTAATTCATAAATTCAAAACACGATTCGTAAATACACAAATTTAATTCGGAAATTCAAAACACGATTCGTAAATTCAAAACATGATTTATAAACACACAAATTTAATTCGTAAATTCAAAACACAATTTGTAAATTCAAAACATGATTTATAAACACAAATTTAATTAGTAAATTCAAAACACGATTCGTAAATACACAAATTTAATTTGTAAATTCAAAACACGATTTGTAAATTCAAAACATGATTTATTAACACACAAATTTAATTCGTAAATTCAAAACACGATTTGTAAATTCAAAACATGATTTATTAACACACAAATTTAATTCGTAAATTCAAAACACGATTTGTAAATTCAAAACATGATTTATAAACACACAAATTTAATTCGTAAATTCAAAACACAATTTGTAAATTCAAAACATGATTTATAAACACAAATTTAATTAGTAAATTCAAAACACGATTCGTAAATACACAAATTTAATTTGTAAATTCAAAACACGATTCGTAAATTCAAAACATGATTTATTAACACACAAATTTAATTCGTAAATTCAAAACACGATTTGTAAATTCAAAACATGATTTATAAACACACAAATTTAATTCGTAAATTCAAAACACAATTTGTAAATTCAAAACATGATTTATAAACACAAATTTAATTAGTAAATTCAAAACACGATTCGTAAATACACAAATTTAATTTGTAAATTCAAAACACGATTCGTAAATTCAAAACATGATTTATAAACACACAAATTTAATTCGTAAATTCAAAACACGATTTGTAAATTCAAAACATGATTTATTAACACACAAATTTAATTCGTAAATTCAAAACACGATTTGTAAATTCAAAACATGATTTATAAACACACAAATTTAATTCTTAAATTCAAAACACGATTTGTAAATTCAAAACTTGATTTATAAACACAAATTTAATTAGTAAATTCAAAACACGATTCGTAAATACACAAATTTAATTTGTAAATTCAAAACACGATTCGTAAATTCAAAACATGATTTATAAACACACAAATTTAATTCTTAAATTCAAAACACGATTCGTAAATTCAAAACATGATTCGTAAATACACTAATCCAGTTCGTTAATTGAAAACGCGATTCGTAAATTCAAAACACAATTCAAAAATACACAAATTAGAGTCATAATTCACAACAAGATTCAAAAATACACAAATCCAATTCACTTGGGGAAAATATTTATGATTTTTACTATATTCACATATTGTGTGTTGTATTTACGAATTTTGCTTAGAATATACAAATTGGATTTTGTAAATGTGAATTGTGTATGAAGTTTATTTCATAAATGTATTACTCTTGAGACTAATCTAACTCCATACCAGACAGCCCTTAACAAAGCCCTTCTCCAGGTCCACCAAACACATGTGGACTGGTTGGGCATACTCCCACGAACCCTCCACGGCCTGGATGAAACCCGCATTGTTCCTCCTGACCCATCTAGCAGCAGTATTGGGCCTAGGGAACACCATGATATTGAGTCCAAACCATGACTGATCCACCCCCATGCTTCACTTTGGGCGTCAGCAGTCAGGGTGGGATGCTTCTTTGGGGCTTTTCCACACCATAACTCTACTGGGTGTGGGAAGGTGACTTCTCCTCTGGTCTCCAGCACCGCTGTTGAATCCACTGAGATGTGTTTGAGAGTGTGATAGTCAGGTGTGTGTCCTCCTCAAGCTTCTTTTGTGTGTAATACTAGTGTCCTTTACATCTCCTTCTGTTGTGTTCTGCTGTGAATTCTGACTGTTGTAGCTGTTGAATACCTCTAATCATTCAGCGGAGTGATATAGATCTATAATGCACTCTAAACCTGCTGGAACTACTTTAGCTGTGCCTTTACCTGACAATAACCAAACACCTGAGAGTGACCATCAACCAATCAGAATCCAGCATTCAGCAGAGCTGCATTATAAAGCAGTGTAGTCAGCTGTTCTTCCGATAAATGGTGTTCAGACTGTGACCTACACCTGATACTCTGTCTGTCATTCACACCACTGAACCAATCTGCATAAGCAGCTCCAAAATCGATGGCAATTTAAATGTCTTTAACTTGTGGCCCGGCCAGAACCGCAGATGTTGCCAGATGTTCTCAGATGCTTCCACATGTGCTGAAAGAGTTCACTCAGAGTCAGTAGCTGTGTTTCAGCGGAATGAACCGTCAACTTATCCAGCTTTTGTTTTACACAGTGGATGCCTTTTCAGCAATGACCCAGCACTGGGAAACACCCATACACACTTATTCACACACACACACTCATAAACTAAAGCCAATTTAGTTCATCAATTCCCCTATAGCGCATGTATTTGGACTGTGGGGGCACCCGGAGCACCCGGAGGAAATCCACAGCAACACAGGGAGAACATGCAAACTCCACACAGAAACGCCTACCCAGTAAACTATAAACTCACCGGCTATTTTATTAGGTACACCTCACTAGTACCGGGTTGGACCCCTTTTACCTTCAGATCTGCCTTAATCTTTGGTGTTGTAGATTCAACAAGCTGCTGGAAATATTCCTCAGAGATTTTGCTCCATGTTGTCATGATAGCATCACACAGTTGCTGCAGATTTGTCGGCTGCACATCCATGATGCCAATCTCCCGTTCCACCACATCTGCATCTGAATGTGTCAGCAGAAATGGAGACTCATCAGAGCAGCAACGTTTCTCCAATCTTCTATTGTCCAGTTTTGGTGAGTCTGTGTGAATTGTAGCCTCAGTTTCCTGTTCTTAGCTGACAGGAGCGGCACCCGGTGTGCTCTTCTGCTGCTGTAGCCCATCCGCCTCAAGGTTGGACGTGTTGTGTGTTCAGAGATGCTCTTCTGCAGATCTCGGTTGTAACGAGTGCTTATTTGAGTTACTGTCGCCTTTCTGTCAGCTGGAACCAGTCTGGCCATTCTCCTCTGACCTCTGGCCTCATCAACAAGGCATTTGCGCCCACAGAACTGCCGCTCACTGGATATTTCCTCTTTGTCGGAGCATTCTCTGTAAACCCTAGAGATGGTTGTGCGTGAAAATCCCAGTAGATCAGCAGTTTCTGAAATACTCAGAGCAGCCCGTCTGGCAGCAACAACCATGCCACGTTCAAAGTCTCTTAAATCCCCTTTCTTCCCCATTCTGATGCTCGCTCTGAACTGCAGCAGATCCTCTTGATCATGTCTACATGCATTGAGTTGCTGCCATGTGATTGGCTGATTAGAAATTTGCATTAAGGAGCAGTCGGACAGGTGTACCTAATAAAGTGGCTGGTGAGTGAATGATGGAATAGTTGGAGGTTCATTCCGCTGTGGCGACCCCTGATAAATAAGGGACTACGCCGAAGGAAAATGAATGAATCAATGAATGACCGTCTTACAAATAATTAGGCTGTTAATTCTGAGTTTACCTCAATAGGCTAAATTGTAATGTTTTCACGGGTTTCACTCAAAATTCTGATGTTGTTCTTGCATTTCTGAGTTTAAATCTGGCTAATCGAAATATCTTTCCCCTTAAATTCTGAATTTTAATATATAATATCTCAAATATTGTATTTTCCTTCTCAGATTAATGAGTTGAGCGCTGGAAATGCGCTATATTAAATACACAAATTATATCCAGCAATCATAGGTTTCTCTGTTTTTATTCTGTAGCTGAAATAAGCTTTAATAGTTTAGAAATAAACATTTTGCCCCACGCAGTGATCACTGAAAGTGCTTTACATAACCGATAATTAGTCATTAATGTAAAAACACTCCAAAAGAAGTGAATCAAATACACATGTACATTAAATAAACACATCTTAACCGTACACATCAGATCAGTTTAAGCTCTTTAATTAATAAATATGAATCTCATGAACTCTTGATTCAGTACAGCATCTGCTGAGGAACCACGTGTGTGAACTCTCGCGGAGTCTCGCGCCTCTCTGAAGTCTCGCGTTGCTCCGCGGCCTGTTTCCTGTTCCGGGGTCGGTCGTGTGCGCTGTGTGTGTGTTTATGTGGCCGTGTGTGTCAGTGTGTGTAAGTGTGTGTGATGATGATGATGGCGGAGCTGGTGCAGGGACAGGCCTCGGTGGCTCAACCCGGGATGAAGGCGGACGGATTCACGGACCCGTTTCACCGCGCGCGACAGGTACGCGCTCCCGCGAATGTGTGTGTGTGTAGGAGTGCGTGTATGAGTGTGTGTGTGTGTTTAATGAGTGCGCGTTTGGACTGAGTGTGTGTAGCCTGTTAGCTGCTACTGCTGCAGGAGCTTTAAAACTCCAGCACACACACTCACACACACACACACTCGCACAGATTAAGGCCACAACACAACAATCGTCAAACACGATGTTCACACGCACACACACACACGCCTGACAGCAACTTTACTCGCACAAAAAACTACAAAACACTAGCAGCACACTGAGACTACTTGTTGCTGACACACACACACTCTCACACACTCAAAACTTCTTTCGACTCACACTGACTGAACACACACACACACACACACACACTCCACGCGTCGCGCAACAGTCGCGAAGTTTGCGTAGTGTGAAGTTTGTTCATGTACTGCACACACACACACATGATCATGTGCTCGCAGCGGTTTCTGGACTGAGGAAAGATCTTCAGCTGTCAGAGAGCGTGTGTGTGTGTGGCCTTATCACTTCCATACTCATTTAACAGTGCATGTGTGTGTGTGACATGAGCATTTCTTAGTGTTATAATCTGATTTTACCCTTGCATATATAATTTCATGACTTAAATCAGCTTTATAATCGTCAAACATGCTAATTTCTATATTTTAAACAGTGTGGCATGTTGTACATGTGCTCAGATTAGCACTTTTTATGCTTAAAACTCTTTAATAGTACTAGTATTACATGTATATCTACTAATAGCATTTTTAGTAGCTGTAATCTTACAATCATCCAAAATTGTACGTGTAATCCTATATCTAGTCATAAAATTAAGATTATAATGAATGAAAATGCTCGTTTTGATGTTTCTTACAGTGTATTATGCTGTATATATGCTCAGATGAGCTCTATATATGCTCAAAATTCTTAGTTTGTCCTTTAAAATGAGTATTATTGCATATACACCTACTTTATGTTCGTCTTTCAGTAATTGTAATATTATTTTTGTCTCAGATTCTACATGCAATACCATATCTAGTCAAAATTAAGGATATAGTTAATTAAAATGCTGATTTTGACATCGCAGTACAGTAAAACATGTTGTACATGTGCTCAGATTAGCAGTTTTATGCTTAAAACTCTTTAAAAGTACCAGTATTACATGTATATCTACTAATTATAGCATTTTTAGTAGTTGTAATCTTACAATCATCCAAAATTGTACGTGTAATCCTATATCTAGTCCTAAAATTAAGATTATAATGAATGAAAATGCTCGTTTTGATGTTTCTTACCGTGTATTATGCTGTATATATGCTCAGATGAGCTCTATATATGCTCAAAATTCTTAGTTTGTCCATTAAAATGAGTATTATTGCATATACACATACTTTATATTTGTCTTTCAGTAATTGTAATAATATTTTTATCTCCACATGCAATACCATATCTAGTCAAAATTAAGGATATAGTTAATTAAAATGCTGATTTTGACATCGCAGTACAGTAAAACATGTTGTCCATGTGCTCAGATTAGCACTTTTATGCTTAAAAATCTTTGAAAGTACCAGTATTACATGTATATCTACTAATAACAGCATTTTAGTAGCTGTAATCTTACAATCAAGCATAATTGTACGTGTAATCCTATATCTAGTCATAAAATTAAGATTATAATGAATGAAAATGCTCGTTTTGAGGTTTCTTACAGTGTATTATGCTGTATATATGCTCAGATGAGCTCTATATATGCTCAAAATCTTAGTTTGTCCATTAAAATGAATATTATTGCATATACACCTACTTTGTTCGTCATTCAGTAATTGTAATCATATTTTTATCTCCACATGCAATACCATATCTAGTCAAAATTAAGGATATAGTTAATTAAAATGCTGATTTTGACATCGCAGTACAGTAAAACATGTTGTCCATGTGCTCAGATTAGCACTTTTATGCTTAAAAATCTTAGTTTGTTCATTAAATTTACCAGTGTTGCATGTAGATCTACTTATAATAGTATTTTTAGTAGCTGTAATCCTACTATCATCAGAAGTTCTATGTGGAGAACTACATGTACGCAAGATCAAGGTTATAATTAATTAATGTTCATTTTGGAGGTTCATACAGTAGAGCATGTTGTACATGTGCACAGATCAGCTCTTTTTATGCTCAAGTCTTAGTTTGTCCATATTATTTCATATGTACCTACTTTATAGTCACTTTTCAGTAATTGTAATCTTATTTTTATCATAAATTCTACATGCAATACTAAATCTAGTCAAAATAAATGTTTTAATTAATGCTGATTTTCACATTGCAGTAGAACATGTACATGTGCTCAGATTAGCACTTTTTATGCTTAAAATCTTTAAAAGTACCAGTATTACATGTATATTTACTAATTATAGCATTTTTAGTAGCTGTAATCTTACAATCATCAATACTATACATTACAATACTATATCTAGTCATAAAATTAAGGTATTAATGAAGGAAAATGCTCATTCTGACATTGCAGTGCAGTAGAGCATGTTGAATATGAGCTCAGATGAGCACTTTTTATGCTCGAAGGTCTAATGCTGCGTTCACACCAGACGCGGAACGTGCGGATAAATTGCGCTATTCGCGCGTAAATAGCCGTGTGAACATATGAGGTTACTCGCTTCATTCGCGCGTCAAACCCCGCTTCATTCGCGTGTAGGGTTGTAACAATATACCGGTATGACAGTTTACCACGATTTGAACGTGCACGATTATCATACCATGAACAATTGCATATCAACGGTTTTAACCCTTAAAGACCGAGACAGCCGCCCGCGGCTAAAAATAAGTATTGCTCTTAAAAGTTTAATAACTTTTTTTTTTTGCATTGCAGACAACCATATCCAAATCCATATCCATAGACAACCATATCCATGCTGGCACATAAAACCTAAGGATGTTCCATATTGAATCTAGTTTCGTTATGTAACTATTTATAGTATAGTAAATATTTATATCTATTTTTTTACTGAGGATTTGCACCATGTTTATTTGGACTTTATTTGGACTTTGACACATTATTTATTATTTTCTTATTTTTTATTTGTTCATTGTAAGTGGTGTTGTTTATAGTAACTAAAAATATAATATTTGGAAAAAGTCAAATTTGCTTCACTGTTCTATTATTTTGTAACATTTGTAACATACCGTATACCGCGAAACCGTCAAACCGTGGTATTGTTTTAGACGATTATCATATCGTAAAAAATTCATACCGTTACAACCCTATTCGCGTGTCAGTTTCACTTCAGAACAGACGTGGATTCGCGTGATGGGCAGGGCTTCTGTCTGCCCGGTGACTCTAGCTTCGTAGCTAAATGGCTAACATGGATTTTATTGATAAAATTTCTGTTTATGTGCTTTATGAAGACTAGAAAAGCGTCAATACGTATAGGGTTGTGTCTGAGTCCACTACATCATTTCAGAGGTGCAGCAGCTCTGTGAGCTCATAAACTCCTCCAGAAACTGAACCTGGCTGACAGAGGCTTTCAGCGGTGCTTCTGACTGAGCCCAGCCCAGTATGATGAACTTCTTGTCGGTGTCTGCTGGGGGATTTCCTTTGGGACACCCACAACAGGCGATACATCACAATCACGCCCCCACAAGAGCAAGCTCCTGATTGGTTAACGCGGCGCGAATATCCGCTGAAGTTCAGATTTTTGAATTCGAGCGATTTGCGTGAAACGCGCGTTAAGCGCTGCAAATGCGCAAAACGATCAATCGATTCGCACCGCGCCATTCACGCGTATCGCACCACAGGATGTCTATTCGCGCGTTTGCATTAACTTAACATGTAAATCACTTGCGCTTGACGCGTCTGGTGTGAACGCAGCATTAGTTTGCCTATTTAAAATGATTATTACTGCATATACACCAACTTTATTAGATTTTTAGTAATTGTAATCTTATCTTAAATTCTACATGTAATACTACATCTAGTCAAAGTTAAGGATGTAATTAATTAAATGCTAATTTCTGACAAGATCTTAATTTGCGCCGGTGCCAATAGCCTAGGTATCCAACCCTATTCAGTGGTAGACGTAAATAACTCAAAAACCTCTACCCTAAAAAGATCTAAAGTGTGTTTCCTACAAAAAGACAAAGCTGGTTATGTTTCACAGCTGTCTTTTTTCTTTTTTATCGCTCGATATTACAACCACTGCTCCCCTTAAGCCCTCGCAATATGCGTTTAGCCTGTCAGAAAAGTGCTTTGCTCCGCTCATCGCAAGCTCTCCCGGCTAAACGCATATTGCAAGGGCTTAAGTGTGTCTGTGTGTGTCTGTAGCTATGTTTCCATCCAAAAATGCCAATAAACTTTATGCGCAAAACTGGATTATTGCATAAAAGTTGTGCGAATGAAGCAGCGTTTCCATCCAACGAGTCAAAACGATCAAAGTCGTCACTTCCTGATTAACTGGCGCCAAATATCAACAGTAAAAACTGCATTTGCTGCAGTAGGAGAAGCTGCATCAATCTTTTCTAAATGAATGCGCCTCAGAAGACAATCCTGACGAGCAGTGAGCGCGCAGTGGCGGACGCGCAGTGTCAGACGCAGAGCACAGGCGCTCTTGATTCTGGAGGTCATTAATAATATAATAACATTAATACTGAAACGGTAAGGCGTTTTATAATGACGAAAACAACAGTTCAGATGTTTTATAATGTGCTCAGCCTGACGTTTTATCCATTTACACACATTTTAAGCATCACATGATCTCTTTCAACAAAGTCACATGATCTTTTTTTAGTGCACATGCTGGAGTTTGTGCGGTAAAAGTGTTTCCATCACAGTTTATGCGCATCTTTCCTTATCAAATAAAAAGTTTATCCTACCAAGTTAGGCACATACGTTTTTTATGCGCATTTTCAAAATATATGCGCATCATGGCGTTTCCATCAACTGTTTTTTTTTATGCACATTTGCAAAATCAATGCACCGTGATGCACCGAGATATCGAAT